TAAGTCTGTTTTGGTAAGGAAGTGAGTTTTTAGTTCCCCCAGACGTAGTGACTTTTGTCTGTTCTGGCTTGGAACTGGGAATGAGTACTTTCAGACGTGGTGACTTTGTCTTTTCTGATAAGTGACTCTGTTTAAATGGAGGAATAAGGGTGACATATCAAGGAGAGGTGTCCATTTGTTATAAGGGTGGCATATCAAGGAGAGGTGTCCATTTGATATAAGGGTGGCATATCAAGGAGAGGTGTCCATTTGTTATAAGGGTGGCATATCAAGGAGAGGTGTCCATTTGATATAAGGGTGGCATTGCCTGTGTGTGGTTTTATATAACTCTTTCTATTATATCCTTTGAGACTACCGAGATCTGGAAATCTTTATTTCTTTGTGATTTAAGGATTTAGGATCGAGGTTCTTAATGGAAATCATAGATTGGATGTTATTGTGGAGAAAAGATTTATTTTGDCCTGAAACTTTGTTAAGCCTTGTTTTTGAGAAAAAAGTTTAAAAAGTGGCAATATATGGAACCTGATTGGTTTTAAAAGGTATGAGATTTAAATAAGCTAAGTGATAACTTGAATTTGAGAAATGATTTGGTATTTCGATATTATAAATTCATATATTTGTTATTTATRTGAATACTTGATTTTGTAAAGATTTTGGTGATCTTTCACCCTGCAATGACATAAATAGGGTATCTCACTAGACTTTATAGTCTAACCCTCGTTTTGTGTTTTAAAATGTGTATTGCAGGAAGTATGGAAGGTAAAGGAAATGAAAAGATTTAGTACTTTTCTTTCGTGCATTTTGGTTGAAGATCTGCTTTTGATGTGTAGCTTTGATGAATAGTACAAGATTGTATTTTGAATTTTTGGACCTGGTGTTTGGTCACAGTAGATTTCTTGTACTAGTGGACCCAATGTGTATATGAATATGTATTTTTTTGGTATGGAATATGTATTACATGCAATGTGTGGCTTGGGGCGTTACATAATGGCAAGTAGTGTGTATAATCGAAGAATAATAAACATCAAGTGATTAAAATTTAGAAATAATACCTTTTATAATTGAAGTCGAAGGATTACAATCGTCGGATGAAGAAGAATTGACAATAGGATTGAAAATAAGTTGGAGATCTAGAGACTTAGAACATCGAGAAGTAGAAATTACAATCTTCTCATTAGAAGACTTAGACATAAACTAATGAAACAATTTAAGAATATGAGAATATGGAGAATTGGTGGAGAAATTGAAGCATAGATCGATGGTTGATGGTTGATTGATGTGTCTTTTGCCTTGAGAATACTTCTCCTTTTATAAGCATAAAAGGAACTGGAACTGTTGCTTTAAACGAGCAGTTGTCCATCTTCAAAATTATTTGAACGGGCAGTTGTCCACCTTCAAAATTATTTGTCTTGTGCTTGAAGACCTTCAACATATACTTTTGTCACTTCAACATGAACGAGCTTTGTCTATAATGGATATTACAGAATATTCACTATTACTCTTGACACTTGATTTGATAACACTGCTTGGACTTGTCTAGCGTGCAATTATTGCAGAATCTTCACTATTACTCTTGATTTGATAGCACTGCTTGGACTCGTCTGGCGTGTAGCATGATCTTGAATAATTGAGAATTCTTTCTCGATCTTTGACATATGAATTGACTGCTTGTCTTGATAATAGAATTTTGATAATAACATTTTAATCGAACTTATAATAGAGAATCTCTAATAGAGATTAACTTATAATAGAGAATCTCTGAAAGAGATTACATACTCATATACCCACATTGATAATAATATTACTCAGTGTATGCTC